CCATTCGAAACCCAATTCGTTTCCGGGTCGGATCACGCAAACCCGGGTATGAACCTCGCAACGGCGTTAGCGGCGGAGAGACATTACCGTCAGGATACAACGGAGGAAACGGCAACCGAGACTGGGAGTTTAACGCCGTTAAGAGTATCGTTAATGAGATTGCTTGAAGAAACGGCGGGGAATGAAACGGAGAGATTAACGGCGTCGAGTACGGTTAATAACAAAGGTAATGATTCGGTGTGTTGCGTGTGCATGGGAAGGAATAAAGGAGCAGCGTTTATCCCTTGTGGACACACTTTTTGCAGAGTTTGCTCTCGAGAGATTTGGCTTAACCGAGGATTGTGTCCCCTCTGTAACCGTCCGATCATCGAGATCCTCGACATTTATTGAATACTTGAATCGTACGGTTGGTGGAAGTTCAGCTGCACGTGACTTCGGTGAGGTTGTGCCTAGAGATTCACGAGAGTGTTACATACGAAATTTAATTACTAGTGGTGTGTATGTTTTCGATTATTGGAAATTGGAATATTATTGAATGGGCCTTTTTTGTGTTAGTAAAAGACCCATGAAATTCACTAACTAGGCCCATTAATCTCAGAACGCCAAACGCGGTAATTGATAGCGATTCAAAACGCTGGGTTCGTGTAGATATTTTAGCATTGTAACGAATCTCGACCGTATAAAAAATCGGACGATCCAATACGCGACCAAAAAAGCATAGTTTAGTACACTTCCGAACCTTCTAGATCCGTCACACCATTTGCATGGCGTTTCTTAGAGAAGACAAATATCTTCCCCACACAAAATATTGGCAGAAAATTTTCAAAAATTAAACAATGAAAAATCTTCCACAAATTTATGGATTTCGTATCAAAAAATCTTCCATAAATTCGGCAATTTTTTCAGGTCAATAACAATCCTCGCTTCACACGAGGCCAGGTCGACGCTCAACCGGTTACGTAACCATCCACGTGGAAAAATCTTAGCGGTACTCTTCTTTTCTATTCGAAATACCTATTCCATCCCTTTTTGTCTTTAGATGAGAGAGGGATATATATGTCATTTGACATCCATGCGCAACGATTATAAAAATAATAATAAAGAAACGACTTGGAATTTGCTAATTCGTGTGAGCTTCCTTCGAATTTTGTTTGTTTTTCATTCATACACACAAAAATGGCGACAGTACCTTTGTTCAGCCAATTCCCCTGCAAAACCCTAGTTCATACCTCATCAAACTCTAAATCCCAATCAAAATCTCCGATTCTAGTGCCTGTAAATCCAATCAATCGACGGTCGGAAATCGCTGTTCATCGGCCGGATTTCAGAGTCCGAGCTATAGACGCTGATGACGAATGGGGTCCAGATGCGGTGGAGAGAGGAGGAGGAGGATCTGTATCTGTGGCGGAGAAAGCAGCAGAAGAAGCAATCGGATCAGTGGAAGAGACGGAGCGGTTAAAGAGATTGTTAGCGGATTCGTTGTACGGAACAGATCGAGGTTTAAGCGCATCGAGCGAGACGAGAGGAGAAATCGGTGAGCTTATAACTCAGCTCGAGTCTAAGAACCCTACTCCAGCTCCTAACGAAGCTCTGTTTCTACTCAACGGCAAATGGATTCTCGCGTAAGTAACAAATAAAGAGATTTGCAACATCTGATTCAAATTAGTTGAATAAATCGGAATAAAATTGTTACATGGTGGCTTTATGAATTTGAATTGAGTGTTATTGTTATGAATTTTAATTGGAATAAATTGCTTCATGTTATTGTTATGAATCAGGAACTTATCTTTAATGGTAATCTTTGTGCAGCTACACATCGTTCGTTGGTTTGTTCCCACTGCTCTCACGCAGAATTGAACCGTTGGTTAAAGTGGATGAGATCTCTCAGACCATTGATTCCGAGAGCTTCACCGTTCAAAACTCTGTCCGGTTCGCTGGTCCACTCGCCACAACATCCTTTAGCACCAATGCCAAGTTCGAAATCCGAAGTCCCAAACGCGTTCAGGTAGTAATCATTCATTGACTAAAACCCGCCAAATCGCAAATGCCGATTTTCGTAGCCTAA